TATGAAATACATGTGGGACAGGAAAGAGTGTGCGGCTTTAAGATTTTGGGGGGGACGGACGGCTCAGGATTTATTTATTTTTTAAAAAATTGCTTGACATTTCAAGTGGGGCAGCTGCAGTTCAGTATCCCTAGTGGAAGAGCCTTTATTGGTTACAATACCTGACTATTGTTATATGAAGTTGAGTTAGTTCATTCTGATAAAACTGAGGCTTTCACATATTGGGAGCTGAGCTAAAATTTGAGCTATAATTGAACAAATGCCATACATTTAAAGATGATTTTCAGATTTATCCCATGATCCAAAAATGCAAAAATTATCCATGTGGGATTATTACCCCCTGTTTTATAATAGTTTTAATGTATTTTTAATCTTTGTTGGAAGCTGCCCAGAGTGGCTGGGGTAGCCCAGCCAGATGGGTTGGGGTGCAAATAATAAATTATTATTACTAAGTACATGTGAGTGATCTTGATTTTCTGATAATGAAATTACATTAAAAGAATAGCTGAATGTGTGAAATTCATGCTATAACACTTATTTTAAACTACACTCTCTATTGGCAGTGGTTATTGCTGCCGCCTCCTGATCTTGTTGGGAGGCTGGTTTGCACACCCTCATCACACTGCTGGGTCTGTCTGTCTGTTTGTCTGTCTGTCGAGCTTAATATCTAACACCAGATACCTTCATATGTTTATAATTTAAATATGAATTGAGTATTGTAAAAGAATTAAACAATGTTCACCCCAAAGAATAGTATATGGCAACTCCCACAGGTTATAATGGGAGCTGCCAGATGGTGTGCATGATGGGAATCTGTCTCCAAAAGCTTGCTTTTGTGGCCTGGGAATTCACTGAGGCCGCTTCCCTCGGCCTCCACCACATGAAATACACCGCATCTGTCCATCACTTGATGTTAAGTTGTCACATATTTTCCAGCTGATTACTTCCATCTAGCGCATTGCCAGTGCTATATGTTGTTTGCTTTTTTGTGCTCTCTCGATATTCCAAGCTGCTTCCATTCCAGAGTGATATTTTGCTTAAGCAAGATATTAATAGCGCTCATCTACTGGCAACAGCAATGCTAACTAAAACATTGCCAATAAGGGCTATTTAGAACCTCAGCTTACCTTGTCCTTCCCCCCTTAATATTACAGTGGTACCTCGGGTTAAGTACTTAATTCATTCTAGAGGTCTGTTCTTAACCTGAAACTGTTCTTAACCTGACATACCACTTTAGCTAATGGGGCCTCCTGCTGCCGCTGCACAATTTCTGTTCTCATCCTGAAGCAAAGTTTTTAACCCGAGGTACTATTTCTGCATTAGCGGAGTCTGTAACCTGAAGTGTCTGTAACCCGAGGTACCACTGTACCTGATTTAGCAGCATAAACAGAAGGCAGCTAAAACAGTTGTCTTCAGTGGCAGGCAGCAAAATGTTTGTGATATTACAAAAGTTGCCAGATGAAAATCTATGGAAGAGTGTTAGGCTGTGCATGAGCATAGCTGGTGGGAGGGGGCAGGCCCCCCTCTAGAAAAAGTAAATCAATAAAAATACTTAACTAACTAAGGTTCTGTCTGCCCGCCCCCACCCCCCGCAACATGAAGCCTGGCTACGCCCATGAGGCTGTGTGCACATTGTACTTTTAAAGCACATTCTTTCCTTCAAAGAATTCTGGGCAATGTGGTTTGTTAAGGGTTGCTGGGAATTGAAACTCTGCGAGGGGTAAATTGCAGTGCCCAGAATCCTTTGAGGGAAAGAATGTGTTTTGAATAAGCTTTAAAGCTATAGCATGCACATAGCCTTAGTCTCATTTGGAGCATGAAAACAGAGACATATTTATTTACAGAGTGAGACAGGTACATTAAATCTAAACCTAAAGATTGTCTTGTCCATTAAATGAAGGCTTCTCCTGCTTTATTTTAATTATTGAGGTGATTAGTAAGATTGGATGGTCCAGAAATCTGGATAGCCAAAATGTGTAGCACAACGGAGAATACATACTGAAATTGGGAACAAAACTAAAACTTTGAAAGCCTTTCATCATCTTTCTCTGGAAATTAGATTGTAGCATTCTGGTAGTTCTGTCAAAGTCAAATACAGAAGCAATTGTTAAGTGTTGATAAGCAACGGTTAGGAGGTGTAATCTACTGGGAAGGTTTTTGATCCAAAATGAAACAGCTTTCTACCCCCGCTAGTCAGGCAGAAATCTAATTACTCTCTTTTGATCTACTATGGAGAGTTAAACCAAAGAGATGAAGGTTATGGACAGTTTCATTGATTTTTATGTCAGAAATCAACAAGTGCAGGTTTTACACTTTGCACATCTTGCTTAACTGGTGTCAGGA